CCCACCCCCCTCCAAAAACAAAAAGAAACACCCAACAAACCAACCTGGGCACAGTTTTGAGTCAGACTCTGCCCAGTGGCTTCTCCTCCCCCCTCCCCAACCAGAGCAGCTCTTCCCTTGGTGACAAAAAATAATCTGATTTTCCCTAAAATCAAAGACAACCAAGCTCCTTCCACCTAAATATCACCTTTCCAAGAGCATCTTCCTTGTATTTAAGCAGATTCCTGGGCTCATCACTGCATACTCCAAACTGTGACAGTTTTCTGTGTGAATATTTTTAACTGTGTTTGTGGTACCTGTATTTATATTTATGTTTAGCACTGTAATTGTTTCCACGGTATAAAGTGAATGGAGTTGTATAGCAGTAGGAAAAAGAAATAATAATAATAAAGGGGGGGCAAAAAAAAAAAAAAAGGATTAAAAAATGACAAAAAAAAAAGAGAATCTTGTGTTACACCCTCTCATGTATAAAGGTCATTGTCCAGAGGACTATGTTGAGTATTTAATAAAAGCTGAATCTTATTTTTCAAGTTTATAGAATGGCCTCTGAGCTTCAGTCGAAACGTTTTCGTGGTGAGGATCAGCCTGTTAGAAAGTTTCACTTAAAAAAAATAATAAATCCTTCTGTGTGTTGTTCCTGGAGAGAAAAAAAAATGATTCATCAGCTCCCTCTCCTTGGGTTGGGCTCCTCTTTTTTTTTTTCCCCCCCCTCCCTCCTTCTCGTACTTCTCAAAAAAAAAAAGAAGAAGAAAGAAAGGGATAAAAGGGAGGAGGGGGGGGGGAAAAAAAATCATTACATTTTGCTTTGTCTCCTTGACTTAAGTCTTGTTGCTGTATTGTTCGGTGGCATCAGGAATTTATGCCACAGCTCTCGCTTCATGATTAAAAATGGATTTCCAAAGTTCAAAACAGTATATATTTCTTATTGCACCCTCCTCAGGTCAAAGGTTCTGCTGCTTCTTCTCTTTTCTTTGTGTTGTTTCGGTGGTTTTTTACCCCTTTATTATTATTATTTTCATTTAATTGGAGCTGAGAATCCCCCCCCCCAGCTCTTCCCCCCCCTCCCTCTTCCTCTTCCTCCTCCTCCCTGATTTTATATCGACCTTATAAACCTTTCCAGGGAGGGGGGGAGTCACTGTGAGCCAGAAACTCGTCCTTTAAGAGAAGGAAAATTATGGATATAAAGCCCGGAGGCTCGGAGAAAATAATTCGAAGGCTGGATTTAAAATAATCTGCATTTATTTTATTTTTTCTCGCCTTTTTTTCACCGCTCTGATATTTATTGGGCTGGGCAGGAGGTTGAATTTAGGCAGGGATGAGGTTTCTGTGGAAGTAACTTAGGGTGGTGGTGGTGTTTTTTTTTTAATTATACAACCAGGAGTTGATGTGAAGTGATTGAAACCGGAGGGGGAAAAGAAGGGGGGGAAAGGAAGGGGAAAAAGAAAAGGAAATGGGGAAAAGGAAGAAGGAAAAAGGAGGGGAAGGGAAGAGGGAAATAAAGGAAGAAAAAAAAAGAAGGAAGAAAAAAGAGGAAGGAAAAATAATAAGAAAAAAAAGGAAATTATTAAGGAAAAAAAAGGAAGGAGAAAAAGGGGGAAAGGAAGAAAAAAAAAGGAAGGATAAAACAGGAGCAAAAAAAATAGGAAGGAAAGGAAGGGGAAAAAAAGGAAGGAAGAAAAACAGGAGGAAAAAAGGAGGAACAAAAAAAGAAGGGGACAAAAAAAAAAAAGAAAGAAAAAAAAGGAAAAAAAAAAGGAAGAAAAAAAAAAAAAAGAGGAAGAAAAATAAAAAGCAAAAGGAGCCTGGGGAGGTTTTTTTTCAGCCCATCCTCTGCTCGTCTCCAGCCTGGAATGTGCAGGCGATTTTTACAAGGCTCAGAGTAGACGGAAGGAAAAAAAAAAAGAAAAAAAATCAAGATTATAAATCTCTTTTAAAAGGGAAAAAAAAACCCAGCAACACCCAAGGAAACAGCCCCGAGAAGCAGGAGCCAAGAGGGGAACGACCCGGGCTGGGAGCAGGAGGTTCCTGGGATGGAATTGCTCAAAAAAAATAAAGTCAAGAGATAAAAATCAAAGGAGGAGGGGGAAAAAAAGGAGAAAAGCAACAAAAAAAACCCCAAACCTCAACCAGGACCTAAATCCGCAACCACCCCGAGATCATTGAGCTCCTTAGAGGGAGGAGGAAGAA